AGTTTTTCTGTCTGGGCTTCATTCAGTTTTCAGGAACAGAGTCTGTTTCCAGAGTTTCTGTATCTTCATCTGAAAGGAAAGGTCATAACCATTCCTTTCAAAGCCCCTTAAGCCCCAGAAATGTCCAAAACCAGCCTCTCCTCTGTCCAATATGTTTTCAGACTTTATGAGCTCCGACTTTCTCCTACTTTTCTTGTGGGTGACAACTCAAATCCTCCCTGTCTCAGGTATATCAACACAGGTCAATACAAGTTGTTCCTTCCTAAAATCCCGCAGGATTCTCTTGCAGAAGCTTCTCTGCTGCCCACTCTTCCTATGGCACAAAGCGACTGGCAAAGGGCAAGAGAGATGTCAGCAGTGGAGAGTCTCTGACCCCTGTGAAATGTACCTTGGGCCAGCACATTTGAGAACTGATATTCTGGTTATGGATTTATGGACCAAGGACAGGCTTTGAACCAACTTCGTATTTTATTTCAAATGGAAATCTAGAAGCAACTTTCGATGTGGTTTCAAATCTTTTTAACTTTGGAGGGAAAGTGCTTAGATTCTTTCATGCTGTGTTTTCCTTTGATTTCTTCTTCCAGGTATGCATTGCTATGGTGTTATTAAATCATTTTAAATTTTAGAATGGAAATCACCACGCTTATTGGTCTTTTAAATTATCAGTTTTTAAACTTTGCAAGTCAGCAGAACCTTGTTTCCAAAGAAAATCTTAGTAGATTCCTCTTGTATAAAATAAATAACAGTTGGGTTGATGGGGTTAGAGAAAGGAGAACAGCCCTAGAAGCACTTCTGCAGAGCCCCAGAGTTGTAGGGAAAATAGTTTAAAAATAATTACTTTAGAATATAATCTTTCTTTCTCTCTCTCTCTCTTTCTTTCTTTCTTTATTTTTGAGACGGAGTCTTGCTCTGTTGCCCAGGCTGGAGTGCAGTGGCACGATCTCGGCTCACTGCAATCTCCGCTCATTGCAATCTCCTCCTCCCGGGTTCATGCCATTCTCCTGCCTCAGCCTCCCGAGTAGCTGGGACTACAGACGCCCTCCACCTCGCCCGGCTAATTTATTGTATTTTTAGTAGAGACGGGGTTTCACCGTGTTAGCCAGGATGGTCTCAATCTCCTGACCTTGTGAGCCGCCTGCCTCAGCCTCCCAAAGTACTGGGATTACAGGCATGAGCCACCGCACCTGGCCAACCATACTTTATTTAATTTAAGGCATGAACTATTGTAAGACATACCAAGCAGCACAAAGAAAGAAAAACACTGCCACTGAATGCCACTGATTGACCCGATTTCAGAGATGATAAAAGGTGGTCAATGTGTAGCTAGAATTGATTATTTACAGTGGTATAAATATACATATAAATCATGTGAATTCACACAGTCAACTTGAAAGTTAAATTTAAGAGAATCAGCAGCAGTAGCTTCAGGTAAATGCCAGCTTCCATTCACTGAGCACTACTAAGTACTGTGCACCAGACAGATGGCAACTGGAGAGGTTGCCTCGGCACTCCTATCCTTCCTTCCATTTCTTAACGTTCCCATTTATTGATCATTCAGTAGGCAGTGTTGAGTGCTATACATGCATTGTCTCATGTGATTCTAATACATGGAGAGGTTTAGAATCTATTAACGTAACCTTGTGAAACCTTAGATGGAAACTATGGTTGGAGGAAATAGAGTCAAATGTCAGCCTCATCAAGGAAGCAGTGATTTCTGCACAAAAGAAGAAAAATGATGCCATGTTTCTCTGTTGGTTAGAAAAATCTGATACTGAGACATGCATGTATAAGGAAAACACCTACAGGAAACTTTACATAAACCACTAAACCCTACCTGCTTTGGGTGGGACCAGTCCCTCTCCTCAACAAACCCTCAACCCAGATCCAGACTGGGGCACTATCAGAAAGAAAAAATCATCTCTAGTTAAGATGTGATGTGTTCTCAGGCCCAGCCCAAAATGCATATCTCCTAAGAGTGGTTCTGCTTCATGCCTCCCTGTCTCATTGTTCTTCTCCAAGACACAGAAATTGGAAGCTGAAATCTTACCCCCAGTATATCAACCTTAAAAGTTTTCATCTTGATTATAGTCAATGGATGGAAAAATAGCCTGTCTGAAAATGGAATAGTTTGTCTTAAAAGTAGTGAGTTTCCTATCAGGTAGGGTAGGGAGGAGAAAGTGGAGTTAGGTGCAGACTGAGGCTGGATGAGTATTTAGAAGGCCTGCTATAGGGGACACAGAAGCATTCGATGGAGTGGGAGGTGCATTGTTTTCAAAATAAATGAACTCCAAGGTCCTTTTCAGCTCTCTAATTCAGTAAATCTCAAGTCCACTGAGATTTCATGCCAACCTTAGATCTGAAATCCACAGATTGGCACTGTTGAATAAAATGTTCTATAATGATAGAAAGGTTCTAGATCTGCACTCTAGGTAGCTACTTATCCACCTGTGGCTTTTGAGCACTTGAAATATGGCTATGTGACTGAGGAAGGAAATTTTTAGTTTTATCTAATTTTAATTTTAGTTTAAACAGCCAGTGTGGCTGGTGCCTACCATATTGGACAGCACAGCTCTAGAAAGACTACTCAGTCTTGTCTTGAACTTTGGGATAAGGGATACTTCTTTAACACCAGCTTTTGGGAAACCACAAAAGTCCAAAGCATTGAGAAGACAGAAAGCTCTGACGCAAAACTGAAAGGAGGCATCCAAATATACGTGCCTCTACCAAGCAAGGTGTCAGGAGAGACCACCATGAGGGGCCAACCACAGAAGTCAGCATCTGTCCAATATTCTTGGCCACCTTAAGAATAAAATAGAAATGGTTTCATGGTTTCTCTTTTATGTGGAACCTTAAAAACCAAAACAATTCAGAAGTTCAAGACAAGCCTGGCCAACATGGTGAAACCCTGTGTCTACTAAAAATACAAAAAGTAGCCAGGCATGGTGGTGGGCACCTGTAATTTCAGCTACTCAGAAGGTTGAGGCAAGAGAATCACCTGAACCCAGGAGGCAGAGGTTGCAGTGAGCCAAGATCGTGCCATTACACTCCAACCTGGGTGACAAGAGCAAAACTCCGTCTCAAGAAACAAAACAAAACAATAGAAACAGAGAGTAGAATGGTGCCCACCAGGAGCTGTGGCAGGAGCTGTGGCAGAAGAGGGTGGAGGGGGATGGGAAGATGCTGGCTAAAGAGTACAAAGTTTCAGGTAGGTTGATTTAAGTTCTGGAGATCTATTCTACAGCCCCATGACCATAGTTAATATAATATGTCATAAACTTGAAAATTGCTAAGAAATTAGATCTTAAGGCTGGGTTTGGTGGCTTATGCCTGTAATCCCAACACTTTGGGAGCCAAGGCAGGAGGATTGCTTGAGCCCAGGAGTTTGAGATCAGCCTAGGCAACATAGCAAGACTCCATCTCAATTCTTTTTAAAAAACAAAAAACAAAAAAGAGAAAGAAATTAGATCTTGCCGGGCACAGTGGCTCAAACCTGTAATCCCAGCACTTTGGGAGGCCGAGACGGGCAGATCACGAGATCAGGAGATCGAGACCATCCTGGCTAACACAGTGAAACCCCGTCTCTACTAAAAATGCAAAAAATTAGCCAGGCGTGGTGGCAGGTGCCTGTAGTCCCAGCTACTCGGGAGGCTGAGGCAGGAGAATGGCGTAAACCCGGGAGGCGGAGCTTGCAGTGAGCTGAGATC